CACTATCACCGATTCTCCCCAGTTGTCTGGGACAGACTCCTTTTCCCAAATGCAAGCAAACAGATCGGACAAGCGCTGACTGAGGACTTCACCCCCGTCTTTGAACAGTGCGGGTGGAAGGTCATCCGGACCGGGAGCTCGGTGGCGCCTGAGGGAACATATGCAGTCGTAAACCTCCGAGGCCGTAGGTGGTTCCACGTTCACCGTCCAGGGTCCTACTTCACCTGTGGGCTCTAGATGAGTGCCGGCTGGTGGCCACGACAGTTGTTGTTCGAAGTATTCAGCCCATCGGTCGAGGCGTTCTTCTTTGTTCGAGATGGTCGTTCCATTCTGGTGTTTGATAATTTCACTCACAGGTGGTTTCCGGGGACCGGTCGCACGGATCAACTGAAATAATTCCAACAAGTCTAGAAAGTTTTCCGCAAACGGCCTCCTTGACAAAGTCAATGCTGCAGTTCAATTTGGTTCATTGGAGTTCCTAGGAAATGCACAGTAACTATGGTTCAAACGAGTGTCTGACGACTATTTATTTTACTCATGTTGAAGAAACATAGATTTCGGGTCGTTAGTGGCGGATTCTGATACAGCTGGCTGCAAAGTCGACCGATCACAGATAAGCAGAACAGATCCAGCCCTCAAATTAAGTATAGTATTCACATCACTGGACTTATTCAAATCACCCGGCATTCAAAGCAAAACGTGGCCAGAGTGAAGTTAAGTTGAACCACCGTGAAAAAGTCATGTGCGCGGGAGGTACCACACATCAAATGGTAAGAGTAAAGAAATTGGTAGTAGGAGTCTGTTGATCCGTTTGACAAAGAATGGGCACTTTGAAGGCTGCCACTCTGAACAGATCTTTTGGTGTTTGCAGCGTATGTTCGAGTTTTGATTACCCGTTCAAATGTAGGTGCCACCCGAAGGAAGCACGACGGCTGGGATACTGCCAGGTTGCCCAAGCCTGGACAGGGGAAGTTGAGATGCAGAGGTCGGGAAATGGGATAAAACCGGAAACCGAACTTATGGATTTTGAAAAGGACGAAGTCGCATTGATAACAGTAACTAGAGTTGCAACCGATAAATGAGAAGGGCTAATCGCGCTTTTCATGCTGCCAGGACAGATGTCACTTTCTGGTTGTCCATGCCAAAGAAGGGGATTGGCTGAGGGACACCACTTTGAGCTCTTCAGACTTGCCTGTAACTTCCGACACAACAGTTCGACCCAGTTGTGTGGAGCTTGCCTAGCACAAAAGTACTTGGATTTAAACGACTGCCTGACTCCCTATACTACGGTGCCCAACAGATGACTTTTGAGCAGCACAAAGGTTTGTGCTCCTGAAAGCTCTTTAACCATCGCAACTAGTGCCCGGTGATCATGTTCAACCTTTGGGGAGCGTAGTGTGCGGTTGGGTTTTTCTAGCTCGCCTCCTCTTGAGAAGAAGGCAGCACCATACACTCGGAAGTTCTGAAAGTCCAGAGGAAACAGCTTGCCACCTTTACGGCACAGGGCAGTGAAACTATCCCCAGAGAGCCTTACAACAAGATTATTCGTTATGCGGAGGTTTTCTTTGGCCTCTCGGACAGTGTTCTACCTTCCAGAGCAAAATTCAAACCAGTGCAGCTCATAAAATCATTGTAATGTTTAGACTCAACCACCACTCTAAGTGGCAGCGTCTGGTAAACGTTGTGGGAAGCTAAGATGAAATCAGATGTTAGACCGATGACCTGCTATTGTAGTCCTGATTAAAACGGATTATGTCATAAAAATGGGGCATATGTTGTCAGACGCAAGTAAATTTAAAACATGGACCGTCAGACACTATGCCTGTGTCCGTGCAGCAAGATTGTCCCCCATAAATTCTTAATCATTCTTAAGACACTGTATGCTGCCCAACTGCCTACTGCATTGCCTAACTTTCTACCACTTGGTCTCAACAATGAACTGAACGAACCCCGAGTTGAGGGCTGTGAAAAGATTAGATTTACTTTTGACCGATACAACGACCACCGTTGCATTCATATCTCGCATTGTTTAAGGTACCCCGTAAAGGCAGGACCCAAGAACAGCAATCAGGATCCTGGATAGATATAGGATGTGCAAACAGACCTTTTTTCACTTCACTAATCGTTACAGCAGCCGCGTTTTCCCCACTATTTTGGGGTTTCTCGAATACAGGGGCTCACTTGATTTTATTGACCTATCCGTTATCCACAGAAATCTCATGTAGCAAAATGTGCAGGTGAATATCGAACACTTTGTGCACAGAGATTTGTAAGCATGTGGTAGTGCATGGGAACTGTACAGAACAGGTCACTTCACTGTTCTATTTATTTAGTTTAGTGGAAACTAATGAAAGGGCCCTCACTATCCTTGTTTGGATAATGCATGCTTGGAGTTTACATTTATGATGACATCAATGTGTGATATTTAGGAAAGCTGACAACAGATTACCTTCTGTCGGGGCGCAATTCACTTTCGGTTGCTCCGACAATAATAAAAATAATTATAATTGCTCAGCTGTGACATCCTTTCGGTGCCTAGCTGCCATGCCATAAGGAGGCACGAGGGCTGGAATACTACCAAAGGAATAGCGCATAGGGTCAGGTTAAGTGCGATCACAATCGAAATAGTTCACTTATACTTAACAGAGCCTACAACTATTCCTCCGCCCCGAAAGGGATAACAGAAGTCCGCCATAATGGTTGATCCCAATCTGGTCCATGGTCGGTCGTTTAAGTCAAACAAACATGCGGAAGCGAACCTAAAAGATACGGAGCCGATGTCGCGGCCTGAATGGAACACAACTTTTTCACAGGGGAATTATTCGAGAAGCTGACCCGATATTTACTTCCAATTGAATCAGACATTTATAAGAACGGAACTCAGTGTTCGCTTTTCTGCCATATATCGCATCAAGAAAACACTTGATTCAGGTCAACGACTCATCCCACTAAGTCTTGTCGACATGATCAGTACCCAAGTTACGATACCATACTGTCGATGGTACACGTAGATTGTACGTCACAGCAAGCGTGCTGCAACGACTGGTTCCAACAGCAATATCCTGTCTTAGGAGGCTTCAGTACCCAGATCAATCGAGATAGTTTCCTGTGGTCAGGTAATTGAAATTTGAGTCCCAGCAGCGACCAGCTTCTTGAGTTGTGCGCAATCCAATCATCATCACAAACACGTGACTTGGCTACACAGACACACTCATGAAAGTCACTCTCGCTTAAGTGACCGTTATCGTAAACCAGAGACGTCTAAAAGGTTTGTATCGTATGAATGCTAGATGACAGTGGAACGGATGATAAAGTGGAGTTTAACACTAAGCTCTGCCATTCACACTGTGCCGTCACCCGTACAGCTTGTTGACGGAAGAAAGGCACAGCTTTGAGCACCAGATGGCGCCGCTATGTCAACCTCCGTACATACTGAGGTCAGCATTTATACTACGCTATCAAAGCTATCAAAGCGGGTAGAAAGGCAAAAAGCCCCAGAAGCTCCATCTCCAACCACCAAAGCAGTCAAAAAGAGACCAAAACTTTTTACTCATCCGTCATACGAAACCTACCTAAAACCGGCCTCTTACACCCCAATGGGCGGTGCTTCGGTGGTTCCTTTTCAAAATCTAACTTGTCTTTCAGCTGTTCCTCGTTTTCCTTCTCGTACTTGAGACCTAGGACGCACTCAGTACCAAGAGAAATAAGAGTTACCGATATCGTCCCACAGCTCTTCGGATAAAGTGCGAATTTCATCAGATTCATCCAGTAAGCCGGAAAGTATCAACGGCATCAATTTTGTATGGTACGAGTACCGATCAGGGAGTTCCAACAACCAGCATCCCACAACCTCAATTACGCTCCGCCGCACACTCGCATTGGTATCAAATAACCGTTGAGTCAGTGGTACGATAGTTTGGTCGACTAGCTTTCCTTGACTATAGATCATAACGGTCCCAGCTGCCTGAACTGCGCAAACACGAACTTTTGAGTGTTGGTGAACGAAGTTGCTGAGCAGCGGATTCAAGATTGATTCAGAGTTTTGATAGAAGCGGTGTAGTTTCCGTCGTGCAAGCTCTTGTGCTATGGTACACGATAATTTTTTCACCTCAGGAAACGAGTCCCTTAGAACATACTGCAGAATCATCAGCACATCGTCTACATATGGAGATATATCAACAGGATTTTTAAGAATCAGTTGGACCAAACGGAGCGTTTCAAGACGGAGTTCTTCCGAAGGCTCGACAATATCCTTCTGACCCAATCTTTTGACGAGTTCAGGTATCAGAGAAGGAAGTACAGGAGCACAGTCAGACGTGGATTCTAACAATTCACGAACGACACTAATAGCCAGTTCTCGGTTAACTTCAATATTGTCATTAAGCGAATTGGCCAATGCAGGTGCGTACTTCTTGTAATCGAAATCAGAGGCGCAGAGTGTCTTCGCCCGGTCTGATATGAGATTTTTTATTGACAGCAACGCTTTTCGCCGCTCGAACCGGCTCTCATCGGACAAAAGAATCAGAGTTCGGTCCGTAAACGCTGGAGAGCCATTCATGACGCGAATTTCGAACAGCGGCCCTTGGATACACACACCTAAACAAGCCTGCAAGGTCAGACCACGGATTCAAGGACTGACGGATTCACGGATTGATGCACAGGGTCGAGGCTTTTGCCCAAGTTCTCGAGTCGGTTTTGTTCTCATCGTTCAGCGTCTGTCGTTCAACTGAAAAGCACAAGTGAACCAAGCGCGTAGCGCTGCTCTTCATGTTATCAGCCCTGGGTGCTTTCCTAGCCGGTGCGATGACTCGCATAAGTAAGTGTCTAATGGTGTCTTGAACTGGGGTCTAGAAGGAGCGCGAACGGCCGTCGCAAGAAGGGCATTCCACGCAGCTAGTAAAAGAAGTAACAAAGAATTTTGCCTGATGAATGTGTGCGCTCTGAGCCTGAAAATCTAGCCATGTCCTCTCCGTATGTTTGCTGAGTCAACGGTGGAAAACCTGTTGACCGAGCTTTGTTCAAACAGGGCTTAGGTAACAATTAGGTCCCATCGGAGGTGACCATACCCCAGGATAAAGAGGTCGATCGCCGCGAGACGCGTTTAGTAGTCCATGGGTTTGAGGCCGGCAAACATTTTCATAGCGGCTCGCTAGACACGCTGAGTGAGGTGAATTCTTTCTGGCGTCCTGAGTAGAAAACTTGGTTGGTACATTCGAGGAGCGGTCTGACGTAGGTCCCATAGGGTACTTGGAGGTCCATGCGAGTAATACGGGTGAAAATGCGCCGGATCATCCGTAAAATGGCGGATGCCTTTTGGGCCGTTTTCTCATAGTGCGGTCAAAAGGACAAGTTTAAGGAGAGCCAAAATGCCCAAATCCTTTTTGGAATCTATCCTCATGATTTTTCCTAGTCCATCCTCACCACGCATGACAAAGACATTCGCTGAATCTCTTCCAAATTACATATGGATACACTTCGGCATTCAGATGCCAGTCCAACGACAGCTGCTTTGCAGCGTCTACATCCGTTTGGAGGGTACTGGCATCGGAAGACCAAGAATTCAAGTCGTCCGGAAAGGCGGACATGGACTTGAAAGAACATCGGAAGGCCGTTGAAGTATATCAGAGGGAGCAGTGGTCCGAGAACGGAACCTTGAGGAACTTCACTGGAGACCGGCTCTGTGGAAGAGTAGGTCGAGCCTACTCCCACTCGGAATGATCCGTCTGATAGGAACGCCTTGATCCAAGGTAGGATCTTCCTTTCAATCCCGTAAGATTCGAGTTTCCGTAGCGCCGGGCGTGTGGAACATAGTCAAATGCTTTTGAGAGTTCGAAAATTGTAGCATCCGATATGAGTCGCTCATCCTTGGCTTCGGTTGAGCTGTCCATAAACACAGACATGTTTGTCACGCAACGGCGGTTAGGGAGAAAGCCATGTTGAGCTGGAGATATTAATTTTTTGGAAGTAAGGCTATCTAGGATGGCTCGCTTCCGAATGCGTTCCACAACCTTGCAAGAAATGCTAGTGCGGCTCGTAGGCCTGTAGCTCCCAGACGAGCGTCGGCCACATGTCCTGTAGATTGGCGTGACAATCGGTTCATTCCAAGCTCAGGGAAGGTGGCCTTCGTCGAGCGAATGACGAAACACCAGGTATAAATGATTTGCCAGTGTAGACGGCGTTTCCTTCAGGATCCTTTGATGGACCTCATCGGGCTTCAACGCGCAGAATGGGTTGATCTTGTGCAAGAGTTGATGAATGTCCTCCACCGTGAAACCAAGTCGGTCAGAGGCTGTTCGTGGTTACGCCTTGACAAGAGTGAATGTGGCGAGGGCACTGCAGGTGAATATAGACCTGCCTAGTGTTCTCTGTAAACCTCAGATACCACTGTTCTGTCACTTGTGGGTTCTCCGTTCCTGTCCCTCAGGGAGAACGCGGATGGCTTGTTTCTGCGGCGATGTCTCATGTATCTGAACAGTATGTCTTTGTTTTTCCGAGCGGAGTCCTGGATGGTGGCTTGTTTTGCCATGTTCATTGGAGGATTTCTGATTTACAACGGTTCTGCGTTTTACGAAATACCAACTCATCTTCTGTGCCTCCTGTGGTAAACCTTTTCGGAAATGTTGGGAACTCTTCCAGAAGGCGCCGAATCCTTTTGGGCAGCCTGCGGCTCCTCCGACTGCGTGCTGGTTTTTTGGTACGAACATCGCCCCGGCCTCGTGAACTTTCTGGACAACGGTCCTATATAAGTCTTCCGCTTAAGCTGGTCCCAGTTTATTTTGTTCAAGAAAGGTGCGCATTCCCCAAATGTCTACACGGCGGAAGTCCCGAAACCGCGTTTGAGTTTCATGATTTCTGGCCCGATAGCAGATGAAGCCTAATGTCAGCACACAGTGATGGCTATGAATCAGCGGAGTGTTAGTTATCACCCAATCAACGAAGTGTCGTTCGTTGATGGTGACAAAATCCATTAGGGATGGTAGTTGGCCTGTGCGGTATCTGATGGGTGCAACGACATGCTGAGTCCAAGCGCTCTGCTGAACGACTTCAGTCAGCGCCGCTGAAACAGGTCTCCCAGTCATCCCTCATTTTGAGCCATGACGAAAGACAGAGTAGCCGAACATTAAGATCTCTATGTCAGAGAAATCTAGAATGAGTCAAGTCTCTTTCAATGCGATAATGGACGGCTGTTCAAGGCAAGCTGACTGTGTGCTACCACAAGATTTGTTGACAAGGCTGGAGCGGTTCGTGGACAAGCATTTCAACACTGTCTCTGCTGCCTCCGAGGGTGAGGAGCTGAGTTGTGTGACCAAAGAGGTTAGCAGACTTAACACTTGTGCGTCGGGTTTGAGTCCAAGGCTCCACAGGGGCCAACGGGGCATACTCGTCTGCTTACTACCTTGGTGGTTTGACGGCATGCACTTTATTTTCGATTTTTGCCTTGCAGGAGCCCGGTTTGCACGGCCTTTTACCCTTGGTGTAGAAGTTTTTCCCCGTGGACGCAAATTTCGACCACTGCTACTTGTAGCACTTTCAATGCCGCCTTTGGACAGCCAGATTTGCTTTTGATCAAAGCTTTGCGGCAAGATATCGTTTGTTTAGTTTACTGGGTGTTTTGACGCGGTATGATCAGAAAGGTGTATCTCTGAGGCCCTGAGGGCTTGTTGGCGGCACCAAGAAATAATTCTCTTGGTGGCGCTCCCATGTGGCTCGCTTTCGAGGAGGACTGCACCTTGAAGCCAGCCAGCACTTTTCTGGTTTGGGGAATCTTATGTGGCTTGTTTGGCTGCAGTCTCGTTTCTTTCGCGTTTGCGTGAACACCCGATTCACCCGCGGTCATCTTGGCCAGCTGGGTGTACTTTACGGTTCGGTGTGATCAGGATTATGGCTTTAGCTGTCGGGGTCCTGGGCGATGATTGCGTTGATTTGGAGATTGGTAGTTTCACATTCTCAGTGGTCGTACGGTTGTCGCATCATTCCCCGATGTCAGTGTCAGTGCATGTGGTTGATTTTTCGGTGGGCTTCACTGCTTGTTCCCGTACACCTGACTCAGTCCAGCTCAGAAGCTGTGACTTTGGTGAGGAGTTCACTGCTGCATCTTTGTCATTTGTTACGGAAAGAAACGCTGATAGCTCTGCGTACATTGGGCGCTGCTTCCACTTGAGAATTGCCTCCCCCAGAGCATCACTGGCTTTGGTAGACGAGGGGTCTGCGGTGGTTGAGTAGAAGGTGCTGTTCGAAGATGCGGTAGATTGCTTCGACTTGCTTTCAGGAGGACAAAGAGCTATGACTGTAACCGGTTTGGCCATGAGTTGAGGTCGGCTGAACTGGCGCCAAGCGAAAGCCGGTTTCGCGCGTCCACCTCAGAAGTCCTGTGGCGCATCTTTGTCAGCTTCTAGAGGGCCTCTAGATGGACGCCTGATCGTAGGCCTTTTGAATACTGCTAGCCAGCCCCAAGATATTTTGTACGGCAGACTGGGAGAAAAAGGTGACTAGAAGCACAAGTGTTCGCTTGCTTCACTTCTGGCGTAACCATTCTGCATAAAGTGATTGGCGGTCAGGCTTAGCGAGTACACAACCAAAGAACTACTCTGCCAGCTTCTTTGGCGTGATTTTTCTGGAGAATGAACTTAAGATGATTATTCTGCACTCCCCTAGAGAGGCCGTGGCGGTCTTCATTGCCCTGGATGCCTTTCTTGCCACCAGAGGACCCGGGATGGATAGCGCGAGGTGCTCGTTCAACGGAGGAAGTTCTTCAGCAAGTTTTGTCCATATCACTGCTTTTTTCTGTGTTTGCATCCTCCAGCACTTTGGAAAAAAGCTCCGGTTTCGCGGCGAGTAAACCCGATGAAAGCGGAACATTTCCACTGATCTTTTGGATTCAGCAGTGGGGAATGGGTTTCGTTTCAATGGCTCTCTTATCAGGTATAGGTTGCACCTTTGATATAGAGGCGACTGATGAAAACAAACGGTCGGGAGAGTTGGCTAGTTGGTTTACCTGATCGTCCTGTAAACCCATGCATTTAAAATGCCACCAGGCCCTGAGGCTTGGCATTGCACAACGCGTTTCACGTTCGGCGGAAAATCATTTCGCTTAAATCTGCTGCGGTCCATCGATGGCTGCAGAGAGCAGTCCTTGATCATCAACGTCATGATAATCACTGGGTGCAAAATAGAAACCAAGCGCAAAATAACACGGGTAATCACGTAAATGTTATGATAGAGTGAAGAAATTCAACAATTGACTCGTGTGTACTCTGCGAATAGATTGAACAGTGTAAGAATTATTTCAAAAATTTGCCCGAGGGAAAAACAAAAACGATTTCTAACATACGGCGCTGTGGGGTTCCTTCACACTCCTCAGCCAGACGACCGAAGTTTAGCCGTGCAGTTTTATTGGTACGCCCGTGCGCGTTCTAGGCGCTCACGACCAGGCAACGCTCATGTAGCAGCCCCATGCGCCCGCGACGTGTGATTTATGGAATGGAACACGGGGTCGAAGCTTTCACTTAAGATTCTCGCGTCGTTTCTTTTTGTCGTTCGACGGCATCTGCTGACCTGTATGGAACGGGCGAATAATGTAGCACCGTTTTTCGTGTTAGGAGCACGGAGCACTGATCTTGTCAGCGCGAGGAGCCAACTAGGGAAGCATCCCAAAGTACTTTCAATTAGGTGTTGGATGCAGCGTCTGCGACCATCGGGGAAGGTTATTCCACGCACCGACCCAGAATAAGAAACACTACCGCCAAACAAAGGTGTCCGCTTTGGGCTTGAAAGCTTCTCACCCTGTGCCCGCCGAGCGTGAGTTGGGTCACCACGGGATAATCTCTCGGTCAAACCTTATTCATTTAGGGCGCTAGGAAGTAGTAATTCATCTCATAGTGGATGATAATCCTAGGGAAATAAGCCAAGCAATGTGAGACATTAACTGAACGCCGATAACAACCTTTGCAGAAGCTCGTAGGACACGCTTAATGAGTGCTGTCTTTCCTGCATGCTGGGTAGACAACTTAGTTGGCGTATTCAAGAAGCGATCTGACGTAGGCTCAATACATCTCTAGTTCGTCATATTGGACAGGACTCGATTGAAGGCTTCTTCCACTCCGCTGCTATTCTTGTGCACAAATTGAAAACTGAAAACTGTTGGGCTGTGATATTTGGATTCTCTTTGTAGTAATGTATTCCATCTGCAAAAGTTAGGCGAATAGGAAGAGTATCATGCTTTATCGTTTGTCATCGCACGCCCCAAAGATATGAGTAAACGCACAGGTGCAATTAAGGCCTCAGTTACTCATAAGGTAAGGGCCACCAACACTTATGTGAAGAAGAGAGAATGATGGGCAATATACATAAGGAAGCATACATGCATAGGAAGCGTGTCTGGAATAAAAATCATCTAGATGGCTTTCTGCTACAGTAACAATATTGTGAATGGGGATAGTGTGGGAGGAAAATCGGGTGGCGAGAATTCGGTAGTGGGTCAAAGGGTTGAACTTTTGTCCTTGACTTTTGTTCGCCCTCGGAAAGTGCCAACTGAAATACTTTGTGACTAAGATTTGTGCCTCTAATACATGGACGGTTTTCACTTAAGTATCGACAAAATTAGTAGCCATTATTTTGCCGTAAAGTTTGAAAACGGTAACTTCTATGTGCTAATCAACAGGCACGCGGGCCCTGCTTTTACTAATTACGTCAGCGCTCCCTAGGGAGAAGGATATGCTGAAACACAAGAGGAAGGTCAGTTCACTGTAACGATCGTATGCCTAAAGCCGACTGATCAAGTCGGGACAGCTTTGATCCCGCTGCAAAATATTTCTAATACGAAAATTCCTCGGGTGATCCCAAGCTTTTCTAATCTGTTGGAATCATGAGTATTCACACCACACTAACTTCGCTGCTCATTTTGATCATCATTAAAGAGTAAACATCAGTATTTTTCAACGGTGTTGTATTCAATGGCTCCGCACTCCTGAGGAGTAGCCTCGGAGTGCCATAAGAGGCAATTCTCCGGATGCCGCTAATCTTGCTAGGGCACCTCCTTGGCTTCGGCTGAGTTGTCCCATAAACTTCACTCCAGCATCGTTGGTAACTTCAGACCTAAGTTTTCGCTAATCAACATGACAACCGCTTTGGCCATTTGAGCCACTCCAGAAGACCTAATAAGCATACAAAGTGAGAATCATACGTACGAATAAAAATAGCGTGACAAACGATGAAAACAACTGTCACGTTAGCTCCGCCGAAATTTTGCGGGCGGCCGGCAGGTGGAAAGGTGGCTAATTAAACATTAACGTTAGATACTATACTCTCTGAATGCAGCAGACATCTAGCTGTCCTCGTGGCTTATTCTATGTGCTGCTTTATGATTACCCTGAATTAAATAGCATCGCCTTCGTAGAGCTATCTGGTAATATATTTGCTGATTTAAGTTGAGCGCCTGTTTCAGCTGCCTCTACAAGCACGAGCTACTCAGCAATTCCTCCTGAGAATGCACCACTGTTCACATTTGAAACGCCACTAAGACAATTCATAATTCTGCTTTGTTCAAACTAAACATCCATTGCTATGGACGTACTCACACGTTTTCGTTGTTCCAGCTTTGTTACCTAGTTCAATGTTACTATCCTTCTTAGTTCATGTTGCATATACGACATAAGGCTAAATTTGGTTAGTTCCTTGATTCTTTTTTCACAGCTGATTGACGCCGTGCCTGATGCCATAGCAAACAATTTGCTTGCTTAGCCCACTTAAGGTAACTTGGACTGCAGCTTACCGGCACAAATATAGATTTATTGCCCACAGACCGATAGTCAGCAAATGACTTTGCTTAAAACAATGTTATCTGAAGTATCACTGCTTACAAAACTTGCTAAGCGTACCATATAGATTTCGCGCTGCAACACACTTGTGTTATTTGCGTTATATTATGGCAGCTGTAACTATGTGCGGAAAAAATTACCCCATTCTGCATGGACACTCCAGTACGCACTTGGTCTCATAATACGATGTTACCTCGACGAAGATTACTACCGGGCCTGTGCATGAAGTCCATGGATGACTCAAGGCTTATTGTAAAAGCAGTTCCCTCAGGGATGTATGCTGTATCCGCCAACACATGTAAGCACATCGATACCACCCTTCAAACAAGAAATGAGGCGTTTCAGAAAAACACAAAACTTCTGGTAGTCAAATTGGTGGTACTCTAGTGGTGAAACCCTTACCACAGTTCGAACCAACTTGCTTCCGCAAACTAGGACCGAACAATCAAACTCGGGCGGAAGCCATAATTTAATGGATCGACTACCAGTTAACAAGTTTGGCTCTTCCGTGCGCCATGCAAGATGGCTATACTCTTCTGTTATTAGTTCCGTGGAAATGCAGAAGTTCTGCGTTCCTATTGGAGTAAACCTGATTTTTATTGATTTCGGGCAACCTTGGCTACTAGCTGATAGATTGCGATCAACACGTTGATGATTTGGCTTTTCTAAAAAGCAGTACTGATAACTTGTAATCATGCGACGGCAGGTAAATTTATGTTTGGTGACTTCTGCTCCTTCTCCCCAATGCTGTAGCTCGTATGGCTAGTCTGGTGTTTCTGTTTTCGTATAATAATTCATAAGTGATAGAAGTTGGAGACATGTCACGTATTAACTTTTGATGTCTTGGTTTACGTGATGCATGGAGATTATGCCTGTCAAATGTAAACGTGCTCTTGATAGCAAGTAGATCATGGCATGCCTGGTATGGACTGCTCAAGTTAATATACTAATTTTACCCACTTTTTGTTTACCAGTTAATAGTGAAGAACGAAAGTTTTCCGTCTTTCGCCTAACCTTTACGTCATAGTGAAGCCCTTCTGGTGTAAAAAATGGTGTAAATAGCAAGGACAGAGAAATTGGTTTTAGTTACAGTGAATTTTAAAAAACATGCCATTGTTCGGAGAACATGCTCTAACACGAGTCGCGTAAATATTGGGTAAGCATGCTTCCTTTTTTATTTACTTGCGCCTGCCTGCCATTACTTATCACTTTGGTTGCCGTGGTAGGTTGTCAGTACCTCGACCGCAACTCCTCGCCAACTCAAGACAGTATTTGCAACTACGAGCAGATTTCTCATCCTACCCCGACTCTGGGACGAGCTTTTTCGTACCCGATGAGTTGTCGCCCCAATTTGCCTGGCGTGGTTTTCCTGCTACAATTTCGGCTTGCCTTCTTCACAAGTTCGAATCCGTACACGGTGTTCGGGTCGCCCTATGTATTAGCACCTTCCTTCCATCCAACCCACCCCCCTGCACCTGACTTCCCTACAACAGTGCAGCCAGTGAGTCCGCTAAGTCCAAGACCAAACCACATTTTTGAGACAAAACTTGCCATGTGCTTTCATTTCGAATTATTCCACCTCCATCTCCGCTTTTGCTCGTTGTGACTCAAGCCATTTACCTAACCGCCCAAGGTCACTCATGGCCAGCACTGGTTTTCAGCTTCAGTTCATGCCAGCTGGCTATGCCTCTGAACTAACCAGGCCTTATGCCCATTGTTCCCAATAAGTTGGGAAAGAAACCTATTATTATTATTTCATTGGATTTTCCCCACTGCTTGTGATATTGTACTCTTTTCTTGCAATCCTTACCCCCACAAACCCCCCAGTCATGCTTCACTTTGACTGTAAACATATGATCATGCCAGACGGTGTGCCACCCACAAGTTGGGAATAAACAATATTATCATTAATTTACTGGCTTCCCAAACGATGACTTTCGTCAACAAGCCACAGTTGATTGCACTTCAAAATATATATTTTTACACAAATTCACCAGGCGACATTCCACCATGTGCTGAAAGTAACAATGATTTTCTGACGCACTCAGGTTACCATTTACGCTTTCAAAGATAACATGCGAATATCAACTAAAATTTTCTCAGACCAACCATATGTTTCAGGCTCCGGTCACCGATATGCAACTATGATTACCAGATTCACATTCCATTCCATCATCAATGTCGTTTCTTAGCGTTCTGATTTCAGTCTTAGTTTTTCTTTGAAGCCCTCGAAATTGACGATAGATTTTCAGGCCCTTGACCAAATTAGGTATGGTTTTGGACCGTCGGCTCTGCCGATGAAACTAAAAGGTGGCGTATCGCTGTCCTTAGGTTGAGGTTTAGGAGTACCAACGACTTGAAGAAGGGAGACATTGGTATAATGAGACAGAAAAGCACGTTGCTGAACCATCTTACAGATACGTTCACAAGTAAGGAGACAGTGAAAAACAAAGAATTTACCGCAAAATTTCAACAAGCATGGGATTTTTGTTGGTCAAGTTAGATAAAATAGCCAAGCGTGGTATGTAAAACCGTAGTATTTTGCTCACATTATCATATTAAAGCAAACTTATTCATCGACCAAAATGTAATCCGAGCAATACTCTCCACTCTTCGGGAAGTGATCGTTCCCAACCGGTATCGGGGACTGTCCATTGTTTCAAATTTCCTTCTGCAACTTCACATTTCAAAGACTTACTCCCAGTCTTCATACCGTTTCGTTCTTTAAAATGAAAGAATTTAGCTTTTGTCTGTATCCGTACCTTGGCAGCCGAGTAAGTCGCGATTGAGTTACAATAGACTTGGTCAAGACGCTGATGTTGGAGGCGCAAGGAACCATAAATAATCTTGCGTCTTTTAATGCGTGTCAACAAAGTTTTTCTGAAGACACAGGGCAATGAAGAGAAAGCAACTACAAGAAATATCGCTTCGTATTTGTCTGGCTTGGCTCGTCTAGTACAAAACCCTGGACGCCTGAGAGTGGCGTCTCCTTGGTGTGGCAGTACTTCGTTAGCCAAAGTAAATACCCAAAAGAATAGCGCGCCAACGAGTAAAGAACGATGTGTCAAATTCCTGAAGGCAGCGGCTTGGATGCAGTTCTATAGCCTGTGCATGTATTACTCACCTCAAACTTCCGAACACCCAAAAAAGGCGTTTTCCTTCAAGCTTTGTTCCAGAGACTGCCAGCACATGGCTTTCAGGGGACAGGCCATGACATAGCAAAGCAAAATGGAGGCGGTTGAAGCCAAGTTATGTAGTCAGGGAATTCCACGCATCATCAGGGAAAGAACCCACGTCATATTGCATAGAATCTCGCAAGACATAGCTCCTGACCGACTTGTGGCTTATTTGCAGTAATTTATTAACCAAACTGCCGAACTGGTGTTAGCTTGCGGTTGTCTATCGAGCCATGTCAAATGGTGGTGCCATCGAAAGCCTGTTAAATCCCACTGGCGGCCGTTAATTGAACGTGTTGCTGCGGCGTGTTCGTTTTGTTGATGTCTACAGGTGTGGACGCCTTATTCCTAATATTGTACTTTTTGCATGAAATCTCTCACGCTCTTTCATGTCCTTGAGTTCCTTTATTTATCAGCATGTGCCCCTACAAAAGATAATGTTGATAATTTATGTAGGGAGACACTAGGGGAGCAGGCGGAGCGCTGTTGCTAAATACCCCGGACCATATATCAGAACGCAGTTTAGTCTAATTACGTGGCCAGGGAACCGCCTATTTTACTCCATTTTACTGTAACTACCATACAACACGTCTTAATTGGTGTGCTTCATAAGGTTTAGTGAACAAGCCTGTGGTGGCCAACGGCCCTATGGAGTCTCCAGTGAACTGAACAAATTAATGATGTAAGCCAGATACAAAGTCACAAGGAGAAAAATCCAAGTGAATCTTGACTCACAGTTCAAAATAGTAGATTCCGTAGTTCCGTATTCCGTTGAACGACCACACCAGGAATAGTTCTATCTTCCTGGTATTCCAGATCTCCGGTGATTGAAATATTAATCCACAAGTGTGAATATACTAGTCCAGTGTTTGTAGCTAAAATGTTTGTTCACGTTTAGTGTTAGTAGCAGTCAATTAAAGCCAACCGGCGGTCACAACAACAGTCACTCAGCAAAAGTCTAAAAGTCACGTTGGAGCTAACGAGCCGGCGGTAGCGGTTGTATTTCAGTAAAACAAACCTTTTTACAGCGATGTGACTGATAATGATGGGGAAAAGGTGATACTGAGCATGAAAAAGAGCAGTTTACATGTGCTACATCCCTATTATTAGTAGGAGGTTCAGCTATTCCATCGATTAGGGGTGCGATAGTCTTAAAAGTATGTATCATCGGGGCCACTGCGGTTGTGAGTTGCTGATATATCAAAACAGCAGCGACGTGTTTGCTTTACCAATATATTAGTATCCTGGTTATATGCAAACGGTGCATACCTCCAAAGTTTGCATGTCATATATGGTGCCCCACGTTCTCTGGATACATAGGGAAAATAGAGCCGGACGGATTACACGCGGAGTAGCAGACGTGTTAGCTACACCGCCAAGAATGAGTTGCAACAAAAACGTTTTTCCTACGGAAGTCGAGGCCAAGTTTACGTTCCTTACCGCGTCGGGTCCAGATTTACGTGCTCGGCCTATTGTTTTTGTTTTGACGAAAGGAAGATTTCTCCCAGTTCTTCTGGTAGGCACAGAATGGGATGATGCTTCTGCAAGCTTTAAAAGCTTTAAACTTTAAAATTTTCGGCTTCTTAGGTCTTAGAGTCCAGCTTTGCTCAAGTATAAGGAGTTACTCGGGCCAGTGGGTCAATCGCTATTTTGGCGGCGGTAGGCCACAAAGGAGATATTGTTGATTCATAAAATTTCAGTATAGGTTGATAAATGCACCAACCCCGATCTCTCCGCTAATGTGAACCCATCTCAACCCTAATAATCGTAATTTCACCTGAAAATCCTCAGAGTGAAAAGGCTGTGGGTGTTTTTAAATGAACCCGAGCGCAGCTATATTGGTGCCCGAACGAATTTTCGAGGATTGCATTGTTCGGACTCGAAGGCATCGTCCTTGCTCAATACGCATGAAGAACTTCAAACGGTAGTGGGGTACGGTCGACCAATCATACACACTGCTATTTAGACAAAAAGTTTCTAATGGAAGGCATCATCAGTGGGTGCTTGGGTTTGTAGTCAGTGTTTACCTTTTGAGGAGGATTTGGCACCTTTCTGTGTGATTTGCCGGTTATGCAAACGATTCCGGGTACTTTTGTTGTTCCGCTTGCGAGTTTCATGCTCTGCGGTACAGGTAACTTTTGTGCGACTGGCTCGCTAACCCGTTTTCCCTTTAAGATGGCGTCCAACTTCCGACTGGTTTATTTATTGCTTGTGCTTATGTTGCTTGTACTACTTAGGTTTGTTAGTTACTACTACTAATAATAACATTCATTCCCAACTTGTGAGTGGCATACCGTTAGGCAAGATCATAACGTTACAACCAGAATGGTGGCATGACTGGCGGGGGTTGTGGGCACGGGGTGTTTAGGGAAGAGGACAGCGTCATAGGGAGCGGGCATTATCTGATATAGGCGGGATCATTACTAAACCGGCACGCACAGAGAAGCACATTTATTGTGCGTTTTTGGAGAGAATATAGAGCAAGATCAGATAGTTAGGATTTGAGGGTGGCGGGCGAGAAACACATTGAAGGAGGGCAAGACAAGAGGCTTCCTGCTTGACACATGAAATGAATGGTGTAACGGTGAAAAATGAGACCTGGTGTAGCGACCAAGTTTGAGTCATTCATTGGGTCAAACTGAACCACAATCTAAAACCGTCAATGAGTTTAGTATGCGGTGTCTGTCAGTTTGATTGATTTAAATGTGAGTATTGGTGATGTACAACCTTGCTTACTGGGCTTTGGCTCATGAGCTTTACTTCTGTTTTCCATCCACAGAAATTGTCGTGACCACCTGCCTTCGGAGAATCACTATCCCCTGGTGCTTCCATAGTGTGCATATTACAATGAGTCATCATGGCCTTAGAATGTCGGGCTCATGGTCAGGGTAACAAAAAGCGTAAGTGCGGACGATGAAGTGGAGGGATTAGCGAAGCGTATAAGTGGTAACAGGAATCTCAGAAACATGGTGTACTGTGAAACTGTGGAGACCTACTGATGTCGCTGTTGTGGAATCGGGCGTAATAGTTCTTCCGAAGAGTAGGGTTATGGCAACCCATGAGCCGGACTGTATAGAAACTTATTGAATTTTTCTGGAAGCCACGACACACAGAAATTTTTAAATTTGAACGGAAGGTTCAGCTAATTAGGATGAATATATCATGAAGGCAGCTGTCAGGTGGGGAGCTTGTTCGTATTTGCAGTTAATAGAACGAGCGAAAGGTAGGGTACGGTGAAGAGAAAAAGGGAATAGTTTCGGGTGTGCTATCAAACTGGGTAGGGCAGTGCCGTGCCAAAATTGGCCTGACTTACTTCCGTTTTCGTACAGCCCCGTGACAAACGTCACATTTACGGTCATTGGTTTGGGATGTGCGACCCTTTCAGCAACGATATTCTTTTCAGGCTGGCCAAGGAAACAAGGTAGAACGAAGCCGATATAAGATCGCCGGTTTTTGGTCCGATTGGGGATTTTGTGGATGTAGATCATAGGCCAGGTGGAGTGGATAACAGCCAATCAGATCGTCCAAACCGTGTATCGCCGGAGTTCGAAGAGTGCGAGCTTGAGAGTTGCGAGTTTGAGACTTGGAGGGATTAAAGGGTAGAATCTTGGATGTATGTGTTTTGGAGGTGTTCCTTGGAGCGGGGCTTGTGAACCAGGGAGGAGAAGAGCGGGAGATCTAAAGCAATCGGTCGGATGTGTGTGCGACGGCTAGTGGGTGTGTTCAACTGTGGGGTGGGTAGACCATTCAAATAAGGTAAAGTAAGCTATCCGAAATCAATCGATGGCGGATTTTGAAATGTCGGATATGTAATTTGAAATAGGAAATTTATGGTCACTGGAGAGAAAGGAAAACATGGTATAGGCTAGCCATGGTGCCGGGAGTAATATGACTATGGCAGACTACAGGTACTTTCAGGAGGAAGAGATTTATTAAAATAATCACAGAACACTCCAAACCTACTGACACCCACAGGCGCCAACAAACTCACAGAAGGGCAGTCGTCGAACATACGGGCCGAAAAAGTCAGNACTTATTGAATTTTTCTGGAAGCCACGACACACAGAAATTTTTAAATTTGAACGGAAGGTTCAGCTAATTAGGATGAATATATCATGAAGGCAGCTGTCAGGTGGGGAGCTTGTTCGTATTTGCAGTTAATAGAACGAGCGAAAGGTAGGGTACGGTGAAGAGAAAAAGGGAATAGTTTCGGGTGTGCTATCAAACTGGGTAGGGCAGTGCCGTGCCAAAATTGGCCTGACTTACTTCCGTTTTCGTACAGCCCCGTGACAAACGTCACATTTACGGTCATTGGTTTGGGATGTGCGACCCTTTCAGCAACGATATTCTTTTCAGGCTGGCCAAGGAAACAAGGTAGAACGAAGCCGATATAAGATCGCCGGTTTTTGGTCCGATTGGGGATTTTGTGGATGTAGATCATAGGCCAGGTGGAGTGGATAACAGCCAATCAGATCGTCCAAACCGTGTATCGCCGGAGTTCGAAGAGTGCGAGCTTGAGAGTTGCGAGTTTGAGACTTGGAGGGATTAAAGGGTAGAATCTTGGATGTATGTGTTTTGGAGGTGTTCCTTGGAGCGGGGCTTGTGAACCAGGGAGGAGAAGAGCGGGAGATCTAAAGCAATCGGTCGGATGTGTGTGCGACGGCTAGTGGGTGTGTTCAACTGTGGGGTGGGTAGACCATTCAAATAAGGTAAAGTAAGCTATCCGAAATCAATCGATGGCGGATTTTGAAATGTCGGATATGTAATTTGAAATAGGAAATTTATGGTCACTGGAGAGAAAGGAAAACATGGTATAGGCTAGCCATGGTGCCGGGAGTAATATGACTATGGCAGACTACAGGTACTTTCAGGAGGAAGAGATTTATTAAAATAATCACAGAACACTCCAAACCTACTGACACCCACAGGCACCAACAAACTCACAGAAGGGCAGTCGTCGAACATACGGGCCGAAAAAGTCAGCTACTGGTTCATATTGCCATCAAAATGCCATTTGCTTATATCAATCCAGATTCCACGAATAAATTGGCCGGTTTTAAACTAGCGCAACATCATTGTTTAATTTCTATGCGCTTTGTCGCTGGTTGCGCTCCCTAGCTTTCCACCCATAGAAACCGAAACTCTTGCAAGTACGTTACTAAGCTCGGCGAAGAGATGAGTAGTTGAGGCGCCCAAGGTGCTGATAGTTCGATATGTTGTCCTTAGTACCTATGAACGAGCACTAAACCGTACAAAAAATCAGTGCCCAAGCAAACGAATATCAAGTTCAGATTATCATTGGATTAGTCTTAGAGGAAGCATTTTGGTAGTTTTTTGTTGCAAGTAAGCCATCAATCGAAATTTGCGGGAACGCGAGAGAGCCGGAAAATTAAGAAAGTGATAAAGAAGAGAATAGGCAATGTGCGACCTTCTAACCTAAGTAAGTGGTGTCAAATTTCTGGAAATTAGATTGCGGAAACCCATGAATACTACATAAAACGGATGGTATAAGAAGATAGGTGGAGAAGTCTCGTTTATGGCGTTACGCCTCGTCCATTCACGTCATTGAGCTCAACGCTCGGATCGGGCACATGTCTGAGACCAAAACTCACTGACGCTTCTATGCGGCAAGGTGGCCCGGGCGTGAAAGTAGCTGGTTAGACTGGTACTTTAAGAGATGGATCTACCAGCGAGGTGGAAGCTGACTTCGGTTTATACGCTGGAGCGTCAGGTGTTTCAAGGCGGCATGGCTCATTTTGATCAATGCTTGCAGCTCACTTTGTCCATTTGTGCAACCTCAGAGACGTCTGTTCATTGAAAAAGCTTACGGACTACTATTAAAGACAACGAGTCAGTCACCGTAAGCTCCACTTCCATCTATAAGGTAGATAAGAGATCGAGGCAAATGTGTCTGCTTTGATTGCGGAAACCGTACTTATAAGAGCCATATAAATAGAAGCTGTCCAAAGAGCGTCATTCATTGCCGCGTTAGGGGCTTTTGGTTGGAAATGGTTGCCCCATACCATGCTGTTTACCTTGGAGTACCAAGCTATTGCGCGGATGCCATGGTAGCCCGAAACAACAAGTGGCCATGTTAATTGAAAGATCTTGCTTTTAGAAGCTCTTTCAGTTGTATTAGTCTACCGGCCGCTGTTGCCGGGGCTCAAAGATCGATGGGCGCTCTGGTCAAATTTCTGTCATTGATGTCTGGTGTGAGCGGCTGAAGGTCATCGTGTGTTGGAGTCAGCGATGATGAACGAATGGACCAACAGGATGGAAAACGGCCAACGGGAAACGTCAGTCCGCCAAAAAACGGACTGACTCATGAATGTTTTCCCTGCCTATTGAGCAAACCACACAAAAACGAGATCAACTTGACTGTGACTCAGATGCCAGAATGTACCACGGCCCAAAGTATCTTGCGAAATTCTCCACTGACACTGTCCTTATGATGTGAGGAGTAGGTCAGGCGAAAAAATACCGGGTTGCGATGACCCTACTATATCCAAACAAATTGTAAGAACAATCAACGCCAACGACGTAAAACTGTAAGTTAGAGCATTTTGTTCACGAACCACTCAGTCAGAGCCTAATCGTAATCAGTCTACTTTTCTGAGCCCATATAATGATATGTGGATTCCCTTTCGTCGTACGAGTGGTTCTCATAACAGGGTATCTTAAAAATCAGGCGGCATCCGCGACCAACAGTCGGTGTACATTATTTGAGTGATCTCGTTATTTGGACCAGAAACCCATCAGGTGAGAGTGAAGCTACGCCCGAAGGTAACCTGTGAGATTAAAGCTACCTGCCCCCACGCCCACGAGCCTAAATGCTAAAGCATATATAAGCTAACTAGAACAATCAGAAACCAATCAGAAACATGTAAAAATCCAAAAGCAAAGCGCCTAATATTGTCTTAGTGGGAGTAAGAATATGTAGCGGACTAGTACCTTATCAGCGTGTTCGGATAAATTAACAAGCAAAGTAACCAACACAAAATCACAAAATCAAAATAGGAAAGGAATGAGTAGTCAAATGGGGACTCACGAATGTGTAGATCCAATAGTCCACTACACCGATACAAATGCAGTAACTGGCTGTGAGAGGAAATATTCCCTTGTCGGAATTTCCCACAGACGGTTTCGCGTGCGTGATATATTCCACGGTAGGAAAATTATGCACGGCTGAAAAATGTCACAGGGATTTATTGTGACGTTCAACAGTTGACAGAAACACAGAGATTTAGTCCCACTGGATCAGCAGTCAACAAACAGTCCAACGGAGCATAAATGCACTTGTTCAGCAAGAAGTCAGCAGGTCGCACCGGAAAATTGTGTATTCGTAACATTAAAACAAACGTCATGATGCAATGTGAACGACAGTTACAAAGTGTGTTTCAAGTTCAGGAAGAATGGTAAATGTGACAACGGATTACAGACACTAGAAATTGCAAACTGCGACTAAGCACGGAGCCATCAGGAAGATTTTTGTTCGTCTAATGACGCGCAAGTGGAGAATGCCATAACCTCAGCGCCAAGCTTTAGCATGTGCTAGCGCTAAATGAAGAGAAGTTATCAAAACTTCTATCAGAATTAGCTGTTTCCGCATGTTTCACGCGTGACGCAAACCTGTATCGGCCACACATCAAAATTATACAAAGGTAAAATACGTTCTTGACTAAACCTATTCCTAATAAACAGGCAACGATAACCAGATTTTAGTTCGCTTCATCTTCCTCTTACTGATGAACTGGTTGTCGCACCCAGTTTCACCAAACTAGTTACCGAAAATGTTCCGCCGTCTTCGGGATTTAAACAGACATTAAAAACAGCAGCAAAAGAAAAAAACCGCCGGAGAGTGTGGGTGACAAACATTCTTTTGCTCAACTTAAAGTCCAGGTCGTTATTCACAGCTCCAGCTTTCGAGCATAGGTTCTCTGACAAAAGGGTTAGCTTGCAGTAGACATATGAATCTGTTTATTCCAAGTCGGCGATTTGGTTGCGCTACACTCTTATTATCTTCTTGAGGTTTTCAATTGACAAGTCTACTTGTAATTCAGTTAGCTAATGGGAGCGTAGGCCTACCGAAACATGATTCACCCGGCTCAGACCCAAACGAAGTGCTGTCAAAGTATACCCGCGGCTTTAATGAAGTTGCGAGCGTACCTCGAAACCTTCTGCAAGTGTGTTCGGTTAGTCAACACGTGAGTGATCTTGCGATTCTGAGGACACCAGTGTATTAAGCACCACTTCCAGTTAGTGGTACTTATCTCCACTAATTCACGAATGTTTCCATAACATGTGACCTGCTGGTTCGTGGAAGAAGAGTCACCGCTTGCAAAGCCATACGTCAGAAACTTCTGGTGAACCGCTGACACCAAATTAGGCCCTAGCATGCCGTTTTAGTTTCCGCTTGACAAGGTGAGTGGAAAGAAGATCTAGGTGCAGACAATAACCACCGGAGTTTTCCATGTTAGCAAACCAGCGAAGCGTTGTAAAAATATCCGTTCCTGGATAATATGCGTGTTCTGTGTTATGTTATCTCGTGTTATCCTACGTCATGCTGTATGTTGCAAAAAAACTTTCTATTACCAGTTTGCAATTAAATCAGCTCTTCGTTTGCGGACTGCCTCAGTGTTCTTGACGGGTGGATGTGACACTTATGTCTCATCATAAGCAGTGACCATATTATTGATCCTGGATTCTCCGATGCCAACCAGGCAGTCGCCGACGCGTTTATTTTATGTTTTCTGCAGTGACCAGTGTTTTTGGGTACGTGGCAGTACGAAGATGGCCAGTCATGGTGCAACGTTGGTTCACACCGAACTGGCCCCGGATTTTGCACTCTTCTTCCCTAATGCACGAATCCAGCTGGTCTCCACTATTTTCATCATCTGCCGTCACATCTAGGTTTAATACCTCTTCAGACAACACCACAGATTTTTCCCGCAAAGTCTTTCCATTTCCCATACATTTTCATAAAGCTATGTCAATCAATAAGCCTACTCTATGGAGAAAAATGTTGGTAGCTCAGGCAGCTTAGATGGTCGTTGGTTTGTTCGCTGGGCTGGGCAATTTGATTGCAAAAAGCTTCATCACCAATCCAGGTGACATCATTAGTGCGTTGTTCGGGCGTAGTGGTGCGTGGTGTAACCCATGATATCTCCTTTGTCTTAAAGCGGAAATTAATTGACCACCATGGGCTGTTTGTTTTAGCTATCATGTTACTACTACAAACGAATTTCAGTAGTTAGAATTCTAAGCACCGAAGATCAGGATGGGACGCGGTTTCAACAAGGACATCTCAATGACTGCACTTTGCAATCCATGGGCTTTTCGAAGTCACAGCTTTGGCTTGACGTACAACTTGCTTTAAATCACACTCGATTTTACGGTCTACTTTCGAGATGACAGCATGGGTCTCACCGAAACAATCAAGTGGATTTTTATCATATAAACGAAAACTGGAAGCGCTCATAAAACTAGAATTTTACAGTGCTAATTGTTGGGGAATATGAATTCAAAAACTCGAAGTCGCCAACTGGACCATTTATACAGAGTGACTAACTAGGTTCTCACTCCGATTCTTACCTAGCCTGCCCACTTGATTTAGTCCGTTTACAGAGATCACGTGCCAATCTATCGATTTTTATTGGCGTCTGCCGACTTTTGAATAAAACACTTGCAATGAGCAGCTGTACAGAAGCAGATATTATACAAAGATGCGGAAACTACACAGATCTCCCACCAGACTGGGGAAACGAGAAACTGACCATAAACGAGGTCGCTCTGATTGTTGTCGGAATTCTAGTGGATGTTTTGACAGCGTTTGTCTTTATTTTCGTTCTGGTATTCAAATTTAATGAGGAAGTTCGACGCTGGTTTCGTACTAGAATGAAAGAAAAAGTTTCACCGTATGAAAAAGTAGCAGACTACTTGCGGGGAAGTAAGTGGCATTTTAGTAGGTTCCGTCTCTAACTGTTTAAAGAACTGTTTGTGTATGCCGCTGAAATAAGACGTTTTCAGTAGCTGAGTTGTAATATGGTTGCAGTAACATGCGTGACTGTGAGTTGGTTGATCACAAAGATTGGGGCTAAATTACGCCTAAATGCAGCGCAGAATTCCGCAAGTTTTAGAGAGGCTTGGTAAGCAGTTAGTGTTGTTATAGTTGGGTAATTTTTGGCTTTTGTCACAGAAGTCAAGTGAACAATTTCAGGTACTCATAGAACCAACCTGTGTGATTTCCTTTGACTATCCGACTCGAATAATGCTGGTCGTCAGTCTGAAGTACTCGTTTGTTGGTTAGTGTGGGTGGTATACTTTAGATAGTTTGGTAGGGGGGTGTCTTCAATTGGAAATACGATTTTTTTTTGAAGAGGGGGCGAATAATGCTGGTCGTCAGTCTGAAGTACTCGTTTGTTGGTTAGTGTGGGTGGTATACTTTAGATAGTTTGGTAGGGGGGTGTCTTCAATTGGAAATACGATTTTTTTTTGAGGGGGGGGGGGCTTACTTTCCCGGTTTGGGACACCTTAATTGAATATTCCTCTTGCATGATGTTCACAGATTCTGTTGGTCTGTATGCGTTAAGGGACGACAAAACAAGGAATGGCCATTTGCTCGATTTGAACTCTAGCTCCAAGCTAAACATAATATGGGTGTCCACAAGTTTAAGCTACTGGAAAAATTCGTTACACACATCGTGCTTTGTGAGAACGAATGTGTCATCTACGTGACACTTGAACGTGAAAGTTCGAGCTTGACGCCAAGGCTTTGTTTTCAAAGTCATCCAGGTGGAAATAAAACCATCGGTTGTTCACGAAGCTCTCTTGAACGATGACTACCCAGTCGGTCCCAAACATTTTCCAGTTGATTGAATTTAACAAGTCCGCGAAATTGTTTACCAACTGTTTACATCAACAATATAGGTGGGAAAAATGTCCGGGTACACGGAACAGGTTTCTCCCATACATTTTCAACGTTGACATGAACTCGTATAGAGTTGCTAAACCCTAAGTGTAACTTTGAACGCGATACATTTGTTCAAATCTAGCTTAATTCAGCTGAAGTCGATGGAGCGCGCTGAGGATGTATGTATGCGGACCAACTAAATATCGATTTTTCTCGATTAACAGAACGCATTTCTGTAACCGTTACGCTGAGCATGACTTCCATGTGGGTCCATTCGAGCAACAGAAAAATGCAAACTTTGAAAGTGGTGGTTAGCATAGATTTTACGAGAACCGTTGAGAATATAACGAGATAAACCCCAAAACGGATTTCATCCTTGCTAGAGAAGTGGAAAGACGAGGAAACTCAAGAGAACTGCCTCACATTTGCTGGTTGTTTGGGACATTTATCGTTAGTAGTGAATCTATCTGTCGATACTTACCGTATCAGATGACTGAGCCGTTACTCAAAGTACCGTAATAAAAATTTAGCATAGATTGGAGAAACCTTTCCAACGACTGCAGGATGCAAATCCGTTAGGAGAGGTCCTTTAGAGATCAAATAACAGTCCTATCGGCACGAGCTGACAAAACATTCTGCCTGAATTTGGAAGGTGTAGGAGAAGACAAATTTTACGGTCCGATTTCAATCTGATGTTGAAAAGATGTGAGATCAAACTCTGCGCGCGTTCTAGGCTCTTCCACACTCACTCGGATGTTGGGATTGGCCCAGCTCAATCCAGTTCACTACATACTACAAATTTATTCCTCGGCAGGGAAAACGGTTTCACGAATGTCGCTTGCTGAAATCGACCGAGTGGTGGCATATATCAGACACCTGTTCATGGAGACAGTATTGACCTAGTGCAGCTCTGGTGTTAACAATGCATACAGACAAACTAGCCTAATAGTGTTCCGGCCGACTAATTAGGTTCCTGCATAGTGCAAACCGTCTAATGTGCTTATTTCTAAGCTTTTATAATCACACGCCATCAATGTGATTCATTTTTTCGGAGCACAGCTGTGATGATATTCCAAATTGGGAGTTCCAAGGCGCACACATGAATTTCGAGCTTTGATTTCCACAGTCGCCTCACTTGTTAAACTGTATGCAAACCGAGTAGCCAGATATGCCGTTAAAAAATCTAAACGCGTCGGATGAGGACAACTGCACCTGAAAGCCGCCTGGTTTGTTCACTTTTGGTTTCCTGAACCCAAATCTCCTTAGATTCTATGTGAGTGCTCTTCGCTGTTGAGGCGATTGACACCGCTTTATAACTTCCCCATTTTAGCGGAGCTTGAACCCGGCAGTTTCAAGAGGCGGGATCCCTCCTACTCCATCTCTGTTGGTGAGGTTGAACAAGTAGGTGAGCTCCTGGAACGAAGACCCACAATAATGTCTGCGCAAGAACGGGATAGATCATCCAGGTCGAGTCAAAGTGAGTATTCCCGCCGGCAGTTTCGATCTCCTCTCTTGTCCCCGCATAAATTTGACACGCTGGCGCAACACCCATTAGGATAGTGTAGGTTGTTTTGAGAGTGAAATGGAATCCATTTTTTGGTAACGACAGATTGCCAGGTTCATGTTTCAGACTTGACGACACACTGATTTCCCGTGCTTCAGAGGCTTTTGACCCACTCATGCTGCTGTCCATCGGAAATCAGGCTGAAACCACATCAGCGTGTAATTGATGATTGTCCAAAACTGACAGAGGATGACGCATGTGTGAATCAATCCGATACATTCACTAGTTCGTTTCCATCATTGAGTAGGGAGGACTTCCGTTTGGCAAGTATTTGTTCCGTGAGGATTATTCGCTCAAACTCTTCTTCTGGAGTATTTGTTCGGCTGATTCACCCAAGAGGCACTACAGGGTTGGCGCATGCGGGCGAAAATCCGAATCTAGACCGTATACCAAGGAGTGTAGTTGGGTCATTCATCATTCGTGTACATCTCAAAGTTGTTCTCAGGATTCGACAGGATCTTCACCCTCCAAAAGATAACATCAGTCACGAAATGAGGTGCAACAACGAACTAGCCGGTTGATGTACTGTTTGCAGCTGTGCCGGCTTTAGCTTTCCACTGGGACTATCGGTGGAACAATGCCGCGCACAGCAACGGTCAACAGTTACACCTTTTCTAAATATCAAATCCACTTGGCCTCAAAAAAACTCCCAAAACAAGCTTGTCAGAATCTCGGAGGTTTTTTCAGGAATATGTTAGGTCACATGTGTACATAATCAGTCTTCTTTCGGATTTCTGATTGCCAAAGTTTCCTATTTTCTAATTACCCTTTAATTTTGTAAGATCCGCCGACAGCAACCTTATGGTAGTACATTACAAAGATATACATGTATCGCGATATCTTGAATATCGTACAGACTGAAACATGAGGCGGCCTAGTGCAGCACATTCAGTTGCCTGAGAACATCACAAACGAGAGATTCAGCTGGGTTCCAGGTGAGTCTCTCGAAAAAGCAAATTAGTTTGAAAATGAGTGTATACCCCTTAATTTTGTTTTGGACCGAATTATCAAACAAACGCTGGCCAGAGATTGCACATTCAAAACAGGATCCTTGAGTAGGACTACTTGGGCAACGTAGCCGTTAGAAGATACCCAGAAAGTGCAGTCTTACTTTGGAAAACACGCTTGGTAGGCAACTCTACTCGATTTGTCTTTTATGGCTGGAGCGAAAAGTCTGCAGACAAGCATGGCCGTCAGTCCTATCTTTGAATGAAGTTCACCAGCACACAGCTTTACTTGCCATGGAGGCCGCGTGGGACGTCAGCTGTGAAACATAGTCAGTGGTTGGGGAGCCAGGGGTGGTGCTGTCGAAACTTCGACACCTTCAGCGACCATTGTATTTTGCATAAGTCTGATACACCACCACGGGCGTGATTGTTGGGCAACTAGTGTCTACATTTGATTGCTGATTACGGAAAGCTGTCAGCTTCTTATTAAGGCAACCAACAAGCAATAAATAAATACGTACTGTTGTACGCAGAACTCTGATGCTTTATTCACCCATGTCAACTTCACTGGATCAGCAATCTTTTGAGAATACAACTGCAATTGCTGCTCAGAGCAGCTCCTTTTGGCTTACCTGTCTGGACTGGATGATGCATCGTAGAAGTACATGAACAACGTAAAAGGATAACTTCAAAATGATGACACAACCTCACAGTTGGACCGACTCTGCTTTTTGGATGAGACAGAAAAGATACCAAGCAGCTGGGGTTAATAAATTGGCCGACAGTGCACGGAATTCACCGCATTGGTGTGCTGCTTGTTCGTTCATTTATTGCCAGGAATTTCTACATTAGCCCCCGTCTTTTAACCATTTCCTCAAATAGTCCTTGTCCCATAGTGATGTACTTTTTGATAGCTTGACCTTTCTTGGTCAAGTGCAGCGAAATACGCGTTGTTTGCTTGGACTTGAGTATAGGTTCCTAGCTGCAAGCTGACACCCTTTCATAGCCTTGAATACAGGCTACTGTCGTTTATTCAGTGTTTGATCCTCCGACTCAACGTTTTCTCTAGCATTCCAAATCACAGCACAACTCAAAAAGTACTGCCAATTCCCTGGAGCTGCTCTGACCCAGTCAAACCGAATTTTTTGCACAAAAATATCCATATGCCATTTAGTACGACATAAAAATGCTTCACAAGTTCTTGTTGGATTTGAACTCTCATCAGCTAGTTTACTTTATTTGATTGCGTTAGGATTGTGAACACACTACCGATAAAGTTGGTGAAAGCTCTTTGAAAACTCATCAGCGGTTTCATCCTTCCTGATAATTATCAGGAACATCATTTTGTAGAAGACCGACAAACTATACTCATTTGAAGAACATAGTAGACGATGGATTCAGCTGGGTCTCCCATAAAGCTAGTGTAATATGGAAATTGGAAAAATCTCGCCATAGATACTCAGAAGGTCGTCCATCTGGCCACAAATCCACGTAGAACTAAGAACCAAACCAACTCAGCCCAAAACTGATCAAGACTCCTAAAATATAGGAGGGACATCGGTGGACGCTGAACTGCACAGGCGATACTTCCCGATTGCCCAGGCTTAGGAAGGGAGTTTGGTTGAGGTACCCCACCTTGAGGCTTCGGCTTAAAAGTCTGACCCACAAGGCAGTGGGAGAATGTAGGGTTTTCTTTGGGGACCCTGCCCGGAACCGACGACTCAACAGACTAACCTGCTCGGCTGCAGGGGGTTGGCCTAACCCGAGGGCGCAGGGAATAAGGCATCAGTCTCGTTCCTGATGCGGCTGCGCACAGCAGGGGACTTTTGAGCAGCACTGAGCCAAAACCGTCAGCTTCGATATCGATACAAACACAAGTCTGCTAATTTTTATGAAGTTTTCCGTCCACCTAGCGTGTGTGCGCTGACACCTGAGATTCACATACAAAGAAACCAGTTCGCCAATGAAATGAGATTCCCATCAAGGTGTGTAACAAAAATGCTTTCGTCCTATTTTATCAGGCGTATATACGTCGTCCATTCGAACATCTGGCATCGAGCAAGGAGAAGATCGGAAACCTGCCTCATCTCTTGTCCATTTCTACCGTTCACCCAGCATTCGATCCCCTCACCACAGTCCCAAACTAACCCAGCGTACAGTGCAACGCTATCCAAAGCATAAAAAGTCCCCAAGCCCAAATAAACCCCAGGTACTGAAGAGACGAAAGCCACGCCCACTAAGAAGACGAGGTATGTTGAACCAGCACATGAGTCACAAATTTTATTCACTCATTGTTTTTGGAGTCGAAGAAAATGGGTTCGTTTTCTACATATTTTAAATGAATTTGCTGAAATAAGACAAGCTCGCTTCCTGTGTATTCGACCTACCACCGTGAGTAATGATTAGAAACAAAACTGTTCCAATAGATTACCCAAAGTTGGTTAACCAGTCAATCGATCAATCAATTAACTTGTAAAGAACACAATTAGAAGATTGAAGATTTTTACGCATGCCAACCTGGATGTGGTTTATCCCCACTTAAACCAACAAAATGGGTCTGGTATACAAAACGTCGTTTACAAAATGCTTCGACTGACTTTAGGTGACTCGAGGTCAGGTCTGCTTGACGTAAGTTAACCCAGAGGATGCATTACCGTAAGTCAGCACAAGCCCACGCTTTACCTGTGCATCGTTTTTTGAGTCCTAATTCGTTCAAGCGTTTGGCTATCCACAGATGTATTAGATGCACGCTTAAATGGCACCTGTAGCTCATGGTAGAAGACTGCACTGGTTAGTCTGACAACCAGTAGTTACCGCGAGTTTTCCAACAGGGACAGGCAAATAGACGGTGAAATTCTGGTAGGTATCCTTTATGCAGTTTCTACATAGCTAGGCGTTGTTTCGGCCGGTGAACAGAAACATCAGCGCTAGATTTCACTGAACGTAAAGACTAGTTGACAGGCTGCCAGCGCGAAGCGATAACCGAATAGTCCCTCGCTCAGTAAACGAATTGCCTTCGATCTATATGAGTTTGCTCAATTCACGTGTGTCGTCTGTTCTATTCTACCGAGGAGAAAGCACACCACAAATGATTCGCACCGGACACAGCTCCTCAACACTGACTTATTCTTGTCCCTACAAAATATCGATTGAAGCCATATAAGATATGAGGGTAGATATGGGATCGAACAACCGCGGATCCTAATTTTCTTCCGTCAGGTCTCGTACAGGAACGGAAGATCACGTCCACCACTTTAAGACACCTTGGACAAAGCAGTCGCGCGTCAGTGGAATTGAACTTCAAAGTAAGACATTCCAGGAACTAAGATCAATAACACGATTTTCAAGTACAGAGGACGCAGGCATATTTCATGCGCACGATTAGACAAACAAGGGCAGATTTTTGCTTGTTTCGCTCATCCGCTTGTGTGTGGATCTGGCAGAAACATGGTCAGCTGGCCCATGTGTTGCAGCCGATTCTACAGGGCAACAGGGACGAAACTTTATAGGACGGACTAAAGAAGTGCATGAGTCTTCATAAAGGAAACTACTCACAAGTTTGCTGAAAACGCTTCGACACCCTACGACCGGTTTCACCGGTTTCTTGGGGATCATCAGGTAGGCGCAGTCCACGAGTTTCCGTCAACCTCATGTTCTACTTGAACCCGAATTGGACTGTTTTCGAGAAATACACTCATTCGCAAATCAATTTGGTTTTCACGAGAGACTCAACTGAATCTCTCGTTTATGATATTCAACCTTGTGAGTAGTTTCTTTCATGAAAATATACTGCGATATCTCGAATATGGTGCCAATCGGATCATGAGGCGCCCTGTGTGCAGCACATTCAGTTGTAGAATATCATAAACGAGAGATTCAGTTGAGTCTCTCGTGAAAACCAAATTGATTTGCGAATGAGTGTATTTCTCGAAAAGTGCGTGGGTCGTTTCATAACTCGAAATAACACACTGTACATGTTGTTAAGCGTAGACAATGAGTGTGATGTTTCTTCATTCAGGACTCACCAGGTGTAATCATGGGTTTCAAGGGCTAGAGATGATGAATGCGTGCAATGTAAAAATATGTGCGATAGACGTTATAGCAAATCTGATTACAGCCACCGCAACCGACCTAATCGTTGTCATATGCAACATACCATCCGCGCTCGACATCACTAACCTCCTGAGGTGAATTTTCACACTCACGCCAGGTATGGAAGTTTGGCAACATAGTGAGTTACAGCTAAAACCTGACGATGCATACTTTTCCACAGATGGCTTCACTTCAAGTCAGCAATAAACGAGCACAAAAATGCAAACTTCCGTGTATCCTGGAAGCTACCACGTCCAGATAACTTTTCTAAGCCTGCTTGGCAAACTCCTTACAGTGGAATATATGAAAACGTATAGACACAATCCTGTCCGTGTTTGGATAAGGAATTGTGTGTCTTCCTCGTTTTCCTTCGTGAACAGCCATTCTAAAGGGGTGTTCGAATTGCCATGCAGATATAAGCTTCCGTTAGCTTTTGTACATCACGAGCATAGTTTCTCCAGCAAATTCATGGGGAATTAACCGTAAACTGTTCAGAATAAATGTCAAGGTGTCTACCAAACTTGATGAATCGCCCATGAACAAGCAACCTAGCCGAATACTGTATTCACATCACCTTAGCATCAAAATGGCTGAATTGAAACGAACACAAATAAGGGATGGTCTTGTAGGCGCGAGGCATGTGAAATGCATCGGACGCATAAACAAAACGACCATAAATTACTCTAAGGTGGCTGTTCGAGCTAGGTACTATGTAGTACGACCAAGGCGCTTACAAAGCCGCTTGTATGTCTTTCTCTGAGTACAACATCGCCTTTTTGCGATCAATGGGATATGCAAAGAAACCAGACAATAAAACCTCGGTATATTCATTGGATTACATTTGGAATGCCTGCCGAAAATCACCTGTGATTGCTGAAGTGGCTTATACCGGAGGTAAAACTGAATTTGACTTCTGGTTGTGTTGCCATATATTTGAGAAAATCTTATCGCATTTACAAGCAGAAGAGCTGGGAATAACAACTCAAGAGAGAGAGACACCAACCAATCGGCTTGATCCGAAGCATTACACTGTTACCGTGAAAACCATCTGAGTGACTACTCACTATAGCTTAGTGCTTAAAGGGTGAAACTACCGAAGGGTTGCATGATCGAACCCAGATTTGGCGTTTGGATTAATTCCCTGTATGCATGAAAAATCTGCCACTAGCTAGGATCCCATGGATCAGAAACCTGGCCGCTGCGCGCTGAGGACGTCAAAAGACTCTGTGTTTGACCATCGATGTCTTCGGAGCATTGCCCGAATCTGGTGGGAACACCGGATCAGCAATTCCGAAGTACGTCGAATGGTATTCGGGTGAAATAACTCACCCTCGTGCTGCGTATGCCAGT